TTTAATTATTTATTATTATTATTATTATTATTTTTATTATTATTATTATTATTATATTTGTATTTATAATTGTGCTTATAGTTGTATTATAATTGTATTTTATTTGTAATATATTTGTTGTAATAGTATTTTATTGTAATTGTATTTAGTAAAAAAAAAAAATAATAATTAAAAAAATGATGGATTCTTTGATTATTAAATTTAAAAAACAATTTAAATTTTTTAAAAGATATTTAAAAAAAATAAAGAAATTTATTGATGAACCAATATGTAGAAGATTATTTATAATAATTCAAACGGTAATTAAAGATTTTTGTTTTTTAAGATATATTTGGGTTTTTTATATATATTAACTTTATATTAAAATTATTTAGGCAGTTTCATTAGTATTAATTGCATTAGCATCTATTTCAAATCATGATCAGCTATTTGATACATGGTATTATTTTACAATTCATTTTTTATTATCACTATTGGGCATATTTATAATATTTAGAAAAGCGGATTCAAAAATGTTATTAATAGTAAGTAGTATTTATTTTAATTATTTGTTTATTTAGTTAAAAGTATCTAACTTTACATAATTTTAGTATATTTTATTATCTAGTGGACTTTTAATTACTGCATCATTTGCTTTTTTTTGGTATTCAGGACAACAAAACATAATAGATAATACATGTGATTCAAATACAAATTGTGAAAGCGAAAAAAATTATTTTTATAGAAAAATGATGAAAATATTGGCCCTCATTATTGTCGAAGTTATTTCTTTACACCCAAATATAAGTTGGTTAATTAAACTTCAAAAAATCGAAAGAAAAAAAGATAATATAATAAATTTACAAAACAATAATAGCAATAACAATAGTGAAACAATAATTACAACCTCTGAAACCCTTCAAGAAAACAACCTAAATGATAATAACAATAACAATAATATTGATAGTAATTCCGAATTTAAAAAAGTAGATTTAAATAAATAAAAAAAAATATAATATTTGATTATAATATAATCATATATTTTTTATGTATCATTATATATCTAAAAATATGAAAATATTTTTTTGTTTTAGCAATGGGAAAATATTAAAATTTACACCCCATTAATAAAATACTTAATTAGGTACTTCTTGCCACCATTTTTTTTTTTTATTATTTTTTTTTCATTATTTTTTTTAAAAAAAAAAAATTTTAATTTTTTTTTATTTTTTTTTATTTTTTTTAAATTAAAAAAAAAAATTTTGTTTTTTAAATTTCATTTAATTAATCTTTGGTTTATTTTTTAAAATTTATAACAATTACATATAATTATTATTTATTTATTTATTTAAACTTTATTATATAACAAATAAAAAAACAAAAAAAAAAAAAAAAAAAAATATAAACAATAGAAATAAAATATGGCTAAAGTAAGTTATCGATTTTTTTTAATAAAAAAAAAAAAAAAAAAAAAAACAGTGTTGAAAAAACGTTTCAAATCAATATAAAAAAATAATATTAATAATTATTTTTTTTTAAAAAATAGAAACATCCAAGAGATGAATTAACTAAAAAAACAAATACTACAACAACAACTACTACCACCAATACAACAGAAAATAATAATACAGATAATATTAAAAGATCAAGATCGTCATCAAACGGTAAACCATCAACAACAAATAATGGAGAACATGAAAGTAACCCATTACAATCAATTAGTGGTTTTGATGAAATAGGTGATGGTATTATTAGATTAAATGATTCTAAAGAAATCGATTTTATAGCATCTGTCAAAAGAGTTCATCAATATATGGAAAATTATTTAAAACAAACTCCACAATACCATTATGAACTCCTTAGTCAACTCTTCAAATGTGATTTAGAATTAAAATTAGAAAATCTTCAATTATTTGGTGATATTTATGTTAGAAATTGTTTTAGCATTCTCTTATCAAATTATTTTAACCAAGCTAAAGATCTAAAGAAAGAGTTTAGAGAAATAGGTGGTTTTGTTTTAGTAGTTAATCCAAATGATATAGAAAGTCAGCCAATGATTACAGGTTCCATTTTAACAGCTCTTCATTTGAAAATGAAGTGTATCATTTATGTTGCTCCTGGTGATTTACCATTATCACAAATTACAAGAGTAAGTAATAATAACAATATTAAATACTATTATTAAACATAAATATTAATATGAATTTAATTTTATTATAGTTATACATGTGTCATGCTAGAGGTGCAAAAGTTATTTTTCATAAAGGTGATACACAATCATGTTTTACTAGAGCTTGGCAACATGCTAAAGATATGTCCATGGTTTTTATTGATATTAGATTTGTACCACAATTTAGCTTAATTGGTGCTGCAACCATTGCACACGAAATGTATGAATCAAGTCCAGATAGAGAGACCATTATTATACCATTACGTCTTTATTCACAAGGTTGGAGCTATGTATCAGGTGTTTCATTATTTTACAAGATTATGAAACCAGATATTAAAATGATCGCTGTACAAATGACCGATGATTTATTTGGTAAAGATTTGGAAGGTAAAGAATACAGCAGACAATCGTTATTCCCAGATAGATTAGAAATTGGTTGGTTAGCTCTTATTCACGACCAATCCGATTTAACAAATGTTTTCGATGCTTTTGATTCAAGAAACCAAGGTAAATTTAATGACAAAGATCTTCAACAAATTTTAATTGATATTGGTGGCGATCCAATTAGAAATAAATCAATCTGTCCAAAATCATCTTTATCTCAAACCGAATTCGTCTACGAAGTAATAACTGAACTCACTGCTGGTTTAAATAGACTTGAAGAAAAATTTGGTTATTTTTTATCACAATTTAAATTAGAAAATTTAATTAAGCATTGGTATGTGTTATTATTATTATTATTATTATTTAATTTAAATATATACTTATCTTTTATTTTAAAATTATTATTTTAGTATTATAGATCAATTAGTTACAGCAACTGAAGATCAAGCTGCAATTGCTTTTGTTAAATGCTTAGAATATACTCATACATTAACAAATGGTAAAGGTTCAATCGCTTTGGGTGGTTTAATGTCTGGAAATATCGATTTAAGAACTGATGAAAAGGTATTAGTCATGATTTCAGGTGGTTTTGTGGATGTAATTGATTTCCAAACAATTTTAAATTATGGTTTAGATATTACAGGTCAAAGCTTTGAAATAGAGTTGGACTTACCAGATAACACAACCTCTTTAAATAAAGTATTAAATGTAATTGGTGAAAACAGAGTCAGTGTTATGGAAGTATTAATGGACCGTTCGTGTGAAACCCTCAAGCAATACCATGTTAGAACCTCAATTCAATGCCACAGTAGAAACTTTGAACAACAATTTAAGATCTTTGATATCATTAGATCAATGGGTTTCAAATATAGCGTCAGAAAATCTGCAATTCTCAATAAAGAAGAAAGCGGTTTCTTATCACCACCAATGATCAAACCAAATTTAAATCAATCAGCAGCCTCTTTACCAAGTATTAGTGGTCCATCAATTCCTCTCCCAATTGGCTCGAAACCATTCCACCAACAAAAAAGAAGTATTAACGATATTACTGTTCAGTCCATTAGAGAAGCTCATGATAGAATTAAGCATATTATGACTCAGCCACCAATTTATCATAGTACTACCTACTCAAAGATCTGTGGTTGTAAAGTAACATTAATGTTAGAAAATACTCAAAAAACTGGTTCATTCAAGATTAGGGGTTCTTCAAATATGGTTTTAAGAGCTATAGAAGGTGCAATGGTTAACAATGATGAAAAACCAATTGGTTTAGTTGCAGCATCTGCCGGTAATCATGCTCAAGGTGTAGCTTTAATATCTGCTAAAGTTGGTTTACCTTGCACCATTGTTTGTCCTGAATATGCCCCAGACTCTAAACTATCATCAACAAGACAATATGGCGCTGAAGTAATTAAAAAAGGTAAAAGCTTAGAAGAGGCCGTAAAAACAGCCGATGATATTTGCAGAGAAAGAAACTGGACTCTTGTTAGACCCTACAATGATGTCGATGTCATCGAAGGTCAAGGTACAATGGGTTGCGATATTTACGATAAAGTACCAGATGTTGATACCGTTGTAGTTAATGTCGGTGGTGGTGGTATGATTGCAGGTATAGCACTATTTTTAAAGAGAATTAATCCAAATATTAGAATCATTGGTGTACAATCAGCCAATGTATCACCATTATCAGAATTTAAACAAACCAATCAATTCCGTTATATTGAGCCAGCTGTACTTTCTTTGGCCGATGGTACCAACGTTAAAATGCCAGGTGGTGTTCACACACAAGTTCTTCACGACATGGTTGATGAATACGTAACTGTAAGCGAAAATGAAATTGCCTCAACCATTGTACATCTTTTATATAATAGCCGTACAGTTTCAGAAGGTGCAGGTTGTTTAGGTTTAGCTGCTTTAATGCATCACAAAATCAAAGTTAGAAAAGATGAAAAGGTTGTTGTTATCATTTGTGGTGGCAACATTGATATGTCAACTCTTCGTCAAGTCTATGAATATGGTCTTCGTTCACTAGGTCGTTCTTTTACCATTCATTTAACCACTTGGGACTATCCAGGAACCCTCAGTAAAATTATTGGTTTAGCTGCTAGAGCCGAATTAAAAGTTCGTGAAATTAGACATATTCGTGGTGGTGGAAATATTAATTGGAATGAAGTAATCATTTCCTTATCCTTCTATAGTAATTCATTTAATCATCAAAATTTCTTCCTTTCATTATTGGCCCAAGAAGGCTTATTCCCAAAGATTGTAGGTAGAAAATATATTAAAGATAGCGAAGTAGTATACAAGATTTTCGATAAGGCAATCGATAAGAAAAACAAAGAATTAAAAGAAACTTTTTCAGAAAGACAAAAATTATTTTTAGAACAATATGGCAGACAAGCAAATGTCAGTATCGAAAAATAAATAAAATAAATAAATAAAAATCTATCTATCTAAAATAAATTGTTTTTTTTTAAAATTGTTGCAATCCATTATGATAATTAACTTTACCAATTAGTTTATTATTGTGTTGTTGCTATCATATGAATGTATTACGCAATGATTGTTTTTTAATACAAAAAAAAAAAAAAAAAAAAAAAAGAATGGTTTATATGTATTTATTTTAAATTATTTTTAATTATATGTATTTGTTTTTGTTTGTTTTTTTTATTTTTTTATTTTTTTTTTTGTATACAACCTGGGGAGTGTAACTTTATTGTTTAAATTTCATCTTTGTCTATGTATTTTGATGGATGTGATTCAACGTAAGCTTCCATTTGATCTTCAGCAAGTTTTGCTATTTTAGCTTTATATTCTCTATCAGTAACTAATGAATTTAAAAATTTATTTTCTACAAATTCCCAATCGACTTTATTCCAAAAGTTGGCAATATATTTCTTTATTTTTAAAAAAAGAATAAATAATATTAATATTATTTATATAGATTTTAATATATTTAAAGATGGGTAATAATAATTACATTTTTATCGGTACCATAATCGTGCATGTAAGCATGTTCATAAACATCGAGACATAAGAGTGGATAACAGTTTTGTAATTCTAATGGTGAACCATTACCAAAAGTTGAAATAATTCTTAAAGTTTTATCGTGGAAGACTAACCAAACAAAACCTGCTGAATTTAATGATGAGGCAGTTTGTGAGAACTATAATAAAATTTAAATTTAAATAATTAGTTTCTAAAATTTTTTCTAATATGCTGTTTGTAGTGATGGTATGGGTAAATAAGCTAAATTTTTTAAACTTGATTGAATATTCCAAACCTGTATCCAAAATCTATATTTTTAAAAACAATCTGATCCTAAAAACTAAGTTGATCTCTGTATTTATAATCGATCCCCTATAATAAACCAATACCAATTCATTACCATCACCTGTTTATCCTATACACCTAAATCTTACTTTTTTTTGGAAAGCATTGATTGAACCAAAATCTAATTCGATAGCTTTTTGCATATAAATACTTGGGAGATTTTTTTTGTTGGTGAGTGATTGCCAGAAAAATGAGTGATTGAAATGTGATGAGATGGCTTCAAAGAATGGAGCATCTTCAGCACTGTTGAATGATTGACTGATAGCTTGATTAATACTAGTATTTTCCCATGGAGTTCCTAAAAAAAATTTAAAAAAAAAATATTAATTTTCATATTATTATTTTTTAAATTAAATTACGTATTGATATGAATATGGTGATTTCTATTCTTTTTTTATTATTATTTTTGATATTACTTTGTACTAAATTATTGGCTCTTTCGACATCATTTTGGTGTAATTTTAAGTGTCTGTTTAAAGCTTCTGCTGAAAGAAAGTTTTTTAAACCAGAGTTTTTATATTCAACATCTGGGAGTGAGTAAAAAAATCTTTTTGAGATTTGTGAAACTACACCCCTTGGAACAAAGGCTATTGTTTTATTGATGATAAAAGTGTTCATTTTATCGATGATTTTAAACAAAAAAAAAAAAACAAATAAACAAATATGAGGTTTTGTAGTTTCGTTCGAAAAAAATGAAAATAAAAAAAATTATAAAAAAAAAAAAATTTTAAAAAAAAAAAAAAATTTTAAAAAAAAAAAATTCAAAAAATAATCATTTTTTTTTTTTATTGTTTGATCATTTTTGATTATAATTATTTCTATATATCGCAAATTTTCTATTGTTATTTGTTTATTTATTGGGATTAATATGTTTCAATTAAAATATTTTTTTTTTTTTTTTTTTTTTTTTTCATTTTTTTTTTTGATTGTATTTTTTTTTTTTTTTTTTTTGTTTTTTAATCTTTGCTTGATGAATTTGAAAAATACAATAAATACTTTAAATATTATAAAAAAATAAAATATAAAAAATAAAAAATGTATGAGATTTTCATTGTATTATTATTTATTTTGAAAAAAAAATGCAATTTAGCAAGGTGTACAAAAAAAAAAATAAAAAAAATAAAAATAAAAATAAAAAAATTAAAAAAAATAAAAAACAAAAATAATAATATTTTTCAAAAATTTTTTTTATTTTTAATTTGTATATTGTGTGTGTGTGTGAGTTTATATAAATAATATTTAATAAAAAATAATAATAACATTTTTCCCTCTTACTTTTCTATCATACATCCATTTCTTTCATTTATCTTTGGGTAATATATGAATAATAAATAAGTAGTGTTTCATTATTTATTACTATCATATTTCTTTTAAGAGTACATTTATATTAACAAATAGTTTTAAATTAAAGATAGATCGACTTTATTTCCTTTTTCTTTTTTTTTCAATCATATAATCAGGTCAAGAAATTTTCTTTTAAGAAAATTATAGAGAAAAACAGAAAAAAAGAAATATTCAAAATATAAAAAAAAGATGAAAGTATCATATATAATATCAATTTTAATTTTAGCAGTATATATATTTGGCTCAAATGCAAGCAAAAACCATCACTATTTAGATGGACAAGCGATTCCATTCTATGTAAATAATATCGGACCATATTCAAATCCAACAGAAACATACGAATTTTATACACTTCCATTTTGTAAACCTAAAGATATTTCTTATAAAAAAACAAAACTTGGCGAAATTCTTCAAGGTGATGCCGCAGTTTTATCAGACTACCAATTTCCATTTAAAAGTAGGTCATAATATTATATCATAACTATCATTATATATTCAAACAGAAATTCTAATTATTATTATTTTTACAATTTATATTTTAAATAGAGGAATTCAAAGATAAATTACTTTGTGAATATACATTAAAAAAAGATGATATTCAAAAGTTCAAAGAGGCAATTGGCGAATATTATTATGCCGAGATGATTTATGATGATCTTCCAATTTTTAGTTTTATTGGTACAGTTGATGAAACTGATCCAAAGAATCCAAAATATTATTTATATCACCATCTCCCATTTGAATTTGACTACAATAAAGATCAAGTAAGTTGTTTTTTAGTATTTTTAATATTCAAGCTGTATACACAAAATATTAATATTTTTTTATACAGATAATTAAAATTAACATTGATACAGAGCATATTAAAGTTATTGAACTTAGTGATCAAGAGGAAATTACATTACAATTAACATACTCTGCTACATGGCACGAAACAGACTTTCAATTTTCAAAGAGAATGGAACTTTATGAAGAATTCTTTCCAAAAGAATTAGAAATTCATTGGCTTTCAGTAATGAACTCATTCTTCCTTGTTGTATTATTAACAGGTTTTTTAGCTATTATGATTATGAGAATTTTAAAGAATGATTATTCAAGATACTCCAAAACTGATGAAGAAGAAGATTCTGATTGTATGTACCCACAACCCAAATATTATATAAAAGTATTATTGTTTACTAATGATTTTTTTTTTTTAAATTTTAGATCAAGAGGATTATGGTTGGAAATTAGTTCATGGTGATGTTTTCAGATTCCCACCACATAAAAATATTTTTTCAGCATTTTATGGTATAGGTTGGCAATTTATTTGTATAGTTAGTGGAATTTTAGCACTTGCATTATTTGGTATTTTCTATCCAAACAATGGTGGTAATATGTATACAGCAGGTATTGTATTGTATGCATTGACAAGTTGTATTTCAGGTTATCAATCAGCTAAAATCTATAAAAATATGGGTGGTACAAAATGGGCATGGAATATTGTATTAACCGCCACACTTTTTGTTACCCCATTAATTATGGTCGTATTACTTTCAAACACTGTCGCAGTCACATGGCACTCAACTGTAGCTTTACCGATCGTTACCATTATTGAAGTACTTACCATCTGGCTATTAGTTGGTTTCCCATTAACTGTTATTGGTGGTATTGCCGGTAGAAGATTCTCTGGTAATTTCGATGCACCATGTCGTACCAAAAACTTCCCAAGAGAAATCCCACCAATTCCATGGTATCGTCGTTTACCATGCCAAATTTTAATGGCTGGTTTCTTACCATTCTCTGCTATTTATATTGAGTTGTTCTATATTTTCAATAGTGTTTGGGGCCACTCTTCATATACTTTATATGGTATTCTTTGCTTGGTTTTCATCATCCTCATAATTGTTACCGCCTGTATTACCGTCGCTCTTACCTATTTCCAACTTTCAATGGAAGATCATAGATGGTGGTGGGTTTCATTTATTAATGGTGGTTCAACTGTTGTTTTCATCTACCTTTACAGTATCTACTACTACGTCTACATCTCACATATGTATGGTTTACTTCAAGCAACTTTCTACTTTACTTATATGTTAATCGTTTGTTTCTTCTTCTTTATTCTTCTTGGTACCGTTGGTTTTTACTCCTCATTAATATTTGTTAAAAGAATTTATAAAAACTTAAAATCAGATTAAAAATAAATTACAATAAAAGATAATAATTTTAAAATAATAAAATATTAAAAAGTTTTTTTTTTAGGCTAAATATAAAAATAATAATTATAAATAAATAAATATTAATATTTAAAGCAATATTTAAAGAATATATTTTTTTTTGAAATTGTATATTTATTTTTTTATTTTTTTATTTTTTTGTTACAATGGTTTTTTAATTGGTTTTATTTTTACTTGCATCGGATTGCGAATCAATTGGTTCTGAAGGTAAGGTGTATTTCTCAGATTGGGTGTCAATTGATTCTGATGGTTGTGGTGGAGGTGCTTGGATATGCTCATTATTTTGTTGTTCAGAGTTATTATTATTATTATTATTATCGTTGTTTAATGAATCAGAATTGTTATTAGAATTATTATTAGTATTATTACTATTATCAATATTGTTATTAGTGGGGGTTGATCCAGTTAAATCTGATGATGGATTTTGTTGATCCCTATTTCCTTTTTTATGATCAAGACCAACATCCCAATCCAATCTTAATTTTCTATTTTCGACCTCTTTGACTAAGTATCTATATTTAAAAATTTATTGGTTAATAAAAAAATTTTAAATTTAATTAATTGGCTTATTAAAAAAAAAACTTACTCGTTAAAAGCTGCATCAGCATCAGCTTTATTTTCAAATTCAACAAAAGCATAACCTTTACTTTGACCTGTTCTTTTATCAAATCCAACATTTATATTTACAAGCGGACCAAATTTACCGAATAACTCCTCCAAATTTGGTTTTTGGAAGTGATATGGCAGATTTCCAACAAAAATACACTTACTCTTTTCTTTTTCTGCTGGGTCAACTCTAATTCTATAGAAAAAAAAATAAATAGAAAAAATTAATAATAATAATAACATAATGATATTATAGTTTATAAATACTTACGGCTCTCTTTTTCTTTGTGGGCCTGGGTAGCTTCTACTGCCACCATATGGATGATGATGATGGTCTCTGTATCCTCTACCACCACCACCGCCGCCATGGTGTCCTCTTGAATCATATCCTCTATGTGGTCCACTTTGACGATATCCGCCATAATGATCTTTTGGTGGGCCACTATTATAACCGTGTGACATATCTCTGCTATCGTATCTATCGTATGGTGGTCTTCTATCACCTCCTCTATTATCTCTATCGTATCTATCGTATGGTCTTCCTCCATATCCTCCATCATTTCTTCCGCCTTCGGTGTAAATGCCACCTCCACTGCTATTATAGCCACCGTATCCGCCGCTGTTATAACCACCACTGCTGCTATTGTAACCACTTCCGCTATATCCACCGCTGCTTCCTCCGTATCCGCCACTACTTCCGCCGTATCCGCCACTGCTGCTGCTGCTATTATAACCTCCGCTACTTCCCCCATATCCGCTGCTATTATAACTAGCTCCGCTGTATCCATTGCTACCGTAGCCACCATTACGATCGTTTCTTGGTGGTTGTGATTGTTGGGGTGCATTACCGTAATTGCTGTTGCCTGATGAGCCACTACCATATGGTGGTGGTGGTGGAGCACTACTACGAGAATCATTAGTAGTTGAACTATATGGTCTACCTGGTGGTGGTGGTACAGTTGATGGGTTTCTCATTGAGCCACCCATTGAACTGGATCCATATGGGTCACTATATGATCCTGGTGGAGTAGTTGTTGATGTTCCTGTTTGAGATTGTAAACCACCGTATGTTCTACTCATATCTTGTGATGTTGATCCACCTCTTGAGTCATATCTTGTAAAATCTGTTAAATATGAACTCATATCATATTGTTGTGGTTGTGGTTGTTGTGGTTGATTTGGTTGTTGTGGTTGATTTAGTTGTGGTTGTGGTGGTTGTGGTGGCTGGGTAGCAATGTATCCACTTGATTTAATTTGTTGATATTGCGAATAATTATCCTAATAAAAAAAAATTTTAAAATAAACGAAGAAAATAATTACAAAACAATGGATGGAAATAATAAATTAAATAATATGTGTATATATTTATATGATTAATTATGTATATGGTGTATCGTTTTTTTTTTTCGAATAAAAAATATAAAATAATATAATCGAATAAGTATTTTTTTTTTTTCTTCTTTATTTATCGTCATCGTTTATCATCGCAATTATTTATACACCATTCAAATTAAAAGATGAAATAGATGATATAAATTCTGCCGTCTATGATCCGATATTTGTAATTAATATAATATTATAATCTATACCATTTTGTTCGGGTCTTCTATCTTTTTTTTTTCCTCAATAATCTTCTTTTTTTCTATCTATTTAGTTATTTACTTATTTTTTTATTTATTTATTTGTAAAAATAGGAAAAAGATTTTAAAAAATATATTATTGAATAGAGGCAAAATGAAAAAAAAAAAAAAATAAAACAAAAAATGAAAATAAAAAAAAAAAAAAATAAAAAAAGTTTAAAAAATTTGAAAAAAAAAATAAAAAAAATAAAAAAAATAAAAAAAAAAGTTAAAAAATAAATAACTATTTTGTTTTGTATAACTTAACGATTTTATATCTATAAACAAAATTCCTGAAATAATTTTATTTGATTACACAATAAATTTTTTTTTTTTTTTTAATTTTTAATTTTAATTTTTATTTATATCTAGAGATAATTTTTTTTAATCCTTATCCTGCAGTGCAAAAAAAAAATATGACACGCTTTTTTGGATGGTTGATGGTGGAGTGGTGATGGAATGTTGAGTTGGGGGGTTGTAATTGTTTATAATACAAGGACAATTTTTGGATAGAAAAATGGAGTAATTATTTTTTTTTTGAAAATGAAAATACGACAAAACTTTTTTTTTTTTTTTTTTTTTTTTTAATTGGTTATTGGCTTTTGGTTATTGTTATTTAGTATGATTTAATTATTATTATTATTATTATATTATTATTATTAATAAATTTAAGCCCAAATTTTGAGAAGAGAATCCCAACTACCTGTACATAAAGCCATACCATCGGTTGGTACACCTAAACATGAAACACGATTACCGTGACCAGTTAAAGAAAGAACACGTTCACCCTTTAATGTATCCCAGACATTGCAAGTGAAATCATCATAACCAGCAAATAAGAATCTACCAGAGTATGAAAAACCAACAGAGGTAATACCACATAAAATGTTGTCGTGAGTGTATTGCATTAATTCACGATCGGCACGAATATCGAATAATCTACATGAGGCATCATCTGAACCAGTACCAAATGAAAGGCCGTTTGGGAAATATTGAACAGCATTGATATCAGCTTCGTGACCAGTAAAGGTTTGGACACATTTACCACTACGTAAATCCCATAATTTAGCGGTAGCATCACAGGCACCTGAGATGAAATAGTTTTTATCTGGAGAAATTGAAACGCTCATAACGTCACCATTGTGGTCTGAGAATTCGGTGATCTTGGTACCATTTTCAACATCCCATAAAATACAAGTCATATCACCAGATGAGGTAACAATTTGTCTATCATTAAGGAATCTACAACATGAAAGATAACCAGTGTGGGAGTTTAATTCACGACAAACTCTAATTGGAACTTCTCTACTACGTAAATTATAAATGGAACAAATATTATCTAAACCACCGCATGCAACAAAATTAGCAGTTGGTGAATAAGCACAAGTCATAACCCATGATGATCTAAAATTATCAAAAGAAAAAATATATTAGTAAATAATTTCATTTATTTATTTTTTTCTGTATTATTTTTATCCTATTTCTCTATATTTTGTGCTAAATTTTAATAATCGACATACCTTAATGGAATAGCGTGGACTTTATTAGTGGTTAAACCATCCCAAACTAATAATTTACCATCTTGTGAAGCTGATACTAAATGAACATTATCTTCAGCCCAGTGCATAGCATAAATCTTGGCAAGATGACCTTTAAGATTTCTTCTAACTTTAATTTTACCGTCCATCTTTGGTAAATTTGGTAAATCACGAGTAAAAGTTTTAACTGTTTTAAAAAAAAAAAAAATTAATATTTGTATAAATTTTGCCATATATATAGTGATAATATTTTATTATATTATTTGTAACCTTGATTCATAAATGCTTTTGATGTTGGTCAAATAATAGTAATAAAATTTTTGTAAATTATAAACATACGGGTAGTATCATTCATAACATCTCTATTTGCTCTGATTTGCTCTTTCATTGATTCAGCATCTCTTCTGGCTTGTTGAATTTTTTCTGAAATATCTGATGACATTATTTTATTTATATGTATGTGTGTTTGTTTAAATTTATATATTTAAATTGGTCTAAATTGGCTAAATAAAAAAAAAATTAAAATTAATATGATTTGATTCTATAAGATTGAAATAATTTATTATATAATAAAAAAAAATTTTTAAAAAAAAAACACAAACACAAACAAAATATAATGAGAACAAAAAAAAACAAAAAAAAAACAAAAATTTAAAAAAAATTTAAATTTTATTATTATTATTATTATTATTATTTATATAATTATTATCTGTTATTTTTATTCTTTTTTTTTAGGACCTACTAAAAATACAGTTGGTTTTTTTTTTTTCTAATATATATTAATTTATATTTTTATATATATATTAAAGATTTATATGAAAAAGAATATTATATATATAAATAAAGTACAATTCTTTTTCTTTTTTTATTTATTTTTTTTAGTGAGAGGTTATGTGTGGTTTTAAAAAAAAAAATAAAAAAAAAATTTTTAAAAAAAATAAAAAATTTTTAAAAAAAAAATTTTTGAAAAAAAAATAAAAAAAAAAATAAAAAAAAATAATGATAAAAAAAAAAAAAATGGTGTGCAAAAAAAAAAAAAATAATGGTAAAAAAAATCAAGTATTATTTTGTGATATTATTATATTACTATCATTATTTTTTTTATTAATAATTTTATGATTATGATTAAGTTATTAATAAAAATAATAATATTAATGTGAGAAAAAAAGTGAGTAATTGTGTTGTTGTTGAAATTGTGAGTGTGTGAAAAGGAGTAAGTTAATAATGTGAGTGATAAAAGTGGGTGGTTTTTTTTAAATTATTTTCTTGTATAATGATTTATATATAGGATCTATCTTTAGTAGTTTTGTGTTTTTTTTTTTTTTTTGATAAATTTATTGTTTGAACTATTAAACTATTGATTAAATTATTATTATTTTTAGTTGTTATATTCATAAAAAAAAAAAAAAAAATAAAATAAAAATAAAATTTTTTATTGAATTTTTTAATCTGTGATTGATTTGTTATAAAAATAAAAACAAAGATGCTATATATAAACACACTAAAATTAAAACACAAATAAATTAAATTTTTTTAAGAAAAAAAAAAAAAAAAAAAGGAAAATATAAGATATTTTATTTAGATATATAAATATATATTTGTGTTATTTATTATTTACTACAAATGATTGATATATACAT